ACAAATGGCTCGGAGGGACAGACTGTATAAAGAGAAACACAGGAAGGATGAAGCCCCATTCTCTCACTCCATCACACGTCTCATGTCTTTAGCTGTCTTGGGTGGGGCCTGAATTGACTTTGCCGTGATGTGACCAGGACGACTCTGCTTAGTGTGTGAATATGAGGGGTTGTGTATTTCTGGGCAGGGAGAGTATGTGTGTGTGTGTCTGTAGGTGAACAGGGTTCCTCATTGTGTGTGTTGTTGTGAAAAAGGAGGGGTTACGGAGGACAGTCACTTCTGATTTGGCCTCAGAGGGGTGACAGGGTCTAGGAGCTCTGGTGGCATGCCACTGAAACAATCGTTTCTGACCACAGATAAGCGCTCCGACTGTCAGCCTGTCTCCCGCTGACTTTTTCCCGACTTTCTTTTCGCTGTATGATTTCTTAAAGGGATGAAAAGCTCTTTTTGTTCTGTGTGACATGCTGAAAGCAGGCTTTGGTCTCCGTAGCCTTGGTGAGACTGCTAATGCTTTAGACGCAAACGTTTCTCGCGCGCCGCTTCTATAGCTGATTATTTGACATGTTCATTTACCCCTGCTTTCCCTTCTCGTGTCAAGTGTACGTTTCTGGAAAAAAAAGCCTGCTTTAAAGGAAGGCTTCACACCCATGGAGAGAAGGAATGAGCGTTGGACTTGCTGATAGCCTTAACTCTTGGGGTAAAACGGAGTTGCTCTCAGAAGAGCGGAAAAGGCTGGAACGGTGTTCATGTAGCCGGGGTAGCTTGGGATTGCTTCCTCTGCAAAAGGGGTCTCTGACTGGAGGGAATTGGACATGCCAAAATTAAACAAACCAATTAGGCAAGCAAAGAGTTTGGAGGTCAAAGCGCACTCCATTAAAGCTCGTCGTCTCCACCTAACTACTAACTCGGTATGTTTATGAGTGTGTTGAAGCAGTAAAACTGATTAGACCTTTTTCTCCTATTCCCTGCTGTTTTTCTACCCTCCACTGATCATTGCGTTTGTTGAATTTGAAGCATCATTTAACTTGGGTGCAATCACATTCACACATAGGTTTTCTTGCATAATTGAGAAAAGATGATTTCATACTCATTCCTTTTTATATGCATACTGACAAACCTTATCATTGTATTAAAGTAATAATGTGTTGGATACATTTAAGGAAGATTCAGGACTGCGCTGTCACAATGAGATGTAAAAGGTTTCATACTGGCAAAAAGGCCTGGCGCTAAACCAATATTAGAGAAGAATATTATGACTGAGGGTTTGAGTTTGCTATCACAAGTGTTAACAACGTCATGGAGAGAACTTTTATGGATATGGATATGTGTTTAGCCTGTTACTGACGTCTTGCACTGAAACATGCCCCATCTCTAAAAAAATAAAGTAACAACTTACTCAAAGAAGAGGACTGACTGCTCTAAAGCTGCCAGAAGAAGCGAACATTTCTTTAGCTCTTTGTTACCGACCGCCCCAGCAGATCGATAAGAGGGGGTGGAATTAGAATATTCCGCACGGTTGTGGACTGAGATTTCTAATGATGACTTTTTGCGAACTTTTTGGAGAAACTTTCAAAAATATTATTTTCATTAACGTACTGAAATAGATATACATGTAGATACATACTAATAAAACAGACATTGGATTTGTCTTAGTTTTTTTTCTACTGTGGCTGAGACATGGTTTCCTACTAAATATTCAACAGTAAGAGTGTTTGCGCTTTATTATTTTAAAAAGAAAGCTTTCATTATTCATAATATGTAGATTAATTGACTGAAATGAATGTAGATAGACATATTTTAAGAAAACAGCAACATTACGTTGTTAATTAATTAGGGGAAAACATATTTGACAAGAAACTAACTCATAAATAGAACAGCACAGATGACTGTTTTAGAAAATAATTTCCAGGTATAAAATTTGCCTGTGCTGCTATCTTATTTTCAAAATAAGGCTGCTGGTATTTTATTCCATTATAAACTGCCATGGTGCAATAAGAACTAAAGTACTTTTAAAGAAAATGAAAACACTTTAGCCCGAAGTTTCTTTGTTAAGACACCAATCCTCCTTGGCAGTGATGGCCCTTAGTGTCAGTGCACAAAAAATATGGTAGGATAGAGGCAAAAACAAGCTGCTCGATTTCTTTGATGCAAACAATAACCCCCTCGATCATGTTGCTGAAATGATTCCAGTGTTTTTACACCCCATTAATCAGGTAGACCTTGGAAGATGGAAGAGTATAGCCACGGCTTAAAAAATTGCCCTCATTGTTCTTTTACTCCCAGTTATAAACAAAGGAAGTTTAAAACTGGACTGTATGTTCCTTATGAATCATTAAATAATTTATTTTTTCTTTGATTACATGAATGTCAGACTTTCTTACAATGGTCAGACTGCCAACATGTTTTATCATCTGCTAAGGTGAATTTAGGTTTTCGAATAAAAACTCCCTCTTGTTCAAAAACATTAAAAAAACAATAAAAAGCTTTCACTTCCAAAATCTAAAGTGACTAAATGTTTTAAGTTCAATCAAAGTTCTAAAAGTAAGAGGAGCATAAACGATTTTTTGTTCATGAAAAAAGAAAAACAGAAACTGATGTGTTTTTTTTTTTCATTATCAATGTTTTAATGGTGTGATTACCTGAAATTTGTTTTATTCTTTTATCTGGCATGCAGCAGAACATTATTAAAGATGAATTTCCTGTCGGATAACACTTTTGATTTTTTTTCTTATTTCTGGGTGAAGAAATTCATTACAGCTGTTGCCAAATGAATTCTTCTCACTGCGATTAGCATTTTACTTCCTTACAAGAGAGCATGTCATTTTGATCCATGGATTTCAGAAATGGAAGACCATAAATGATGTATTGATACATAGCTGTCTCGTCTTTCTTTTTCCTTCCTGAGTTACCAAAAGGTGCATGTCTCCAATGGAGTCTGACCTGTATGTGCTGTATAGTGAGCCTTAATTTCACCATCCGCACTGACTTAGAGAAAATGAAGAACGGGAGAAATAGGCTTCTGAATACATGCCTGCTTTTGTGTTTTGTGTGGCTCTGAGAGGGAGTCTATCTTATACAGTGGCCTTTACAGCTGAATGTGTGAGTGGCCCTGAGAGAAGAGGAGCAGAGAGAGCGGGAGCACAGTTGCGGTGCCTTTAAAACAGCTCGATTTGTCTCCTAGGTGAGGTGAAAACTCTCAATAACTCTATCAGAGCAATGTGGAAAAGAAATAATATCTCAAGGTTAGACTGCCAATGTTTTTTTTTCTCCTTAGAAAAGTGTGAGCTGGAGGATAAAAACATTTGCGTCAGAACTTGCCTTTTGAGACTTTGAGGGACACTGTTATTCTGAATCCACATCCAACTTTCTTTTCCCTTTCAATGTATTCTTTGACTTAAAGAACACCAATCAAAGTGAAACGTTTCGAGTTTTTGAGCCAGTTTGATGGATTTCTTTTTTCTTGGGCAACTGAGACTTCAGCACTTGTCACAATCACTTGATCGGCTTGTCCACTGCTGTTCATAGGAGGTGTGTTTGTCCAAGTGGACGTGGGAGACACTGTGGATTTATCTGATCTTACAAGCCATCAGGTTGAGCAGAGCTTTGCTAAACATGACCTGAAGTGTGCCGGCCCCCGAGCAAACGCTGCTGTCACCTTGGCCAACCCGAGCTGTCATCTCTCAGAGTGGCCCATGAGAGCTGACAGCTGTGGCGTTCCCAAAACAAATCACTGCTGCGTTTGGTAACACTCTGCGTCCCTGCGATTTAGTTCTCACCGAGACAAGAGCGGGAGAGGCGGCTGCTAATGCCCCGGCTAATGCACTGTCTGATTGCGTGTGTTGTCTCCTGCATCCGGGGACGCGCGCGCTTGTTTGTGTTTGCCGAGGCACGTGTGGTTCCGCTGTGTTTTCTGCCACCTTGCATGAGTCGACAGCGCGATGTTCGCTCATCCTTCCTTTGTGTTCCTCCACTTTCCGTGAGCTTTTCCTGCATCTTTTAACTCCCAGTCCTTCCCGAATGTGTGAGCCGTGTATGAAAAACTGGGGCTTTGTCTGCACTCAGTCAAACCCCACCTGAGTCTGAGATCAATATTAGAATATTTCTACAAGAAATGGTAAAAGTGTAACAGTTCACGCTTTGGGCGATCATTTTGTAAAGTCTTGTGATAATATTTGCCAGTGTTCCTTTCTCACCACTATGACTCACGTCAGCGATTACTGAAAGTTGGGTCTTCATTTTTTGACAGATGAGCAGCTTTTCAGTTGTCATCAAGGCTCCTTTTTCTATGGTTTTTTAGAAACCTTTGTGTTCACAGCCTAGACTGAACTGTGCAAGATCAGTAACATTGAGGTGAAGGTTCAAGAATGAACTGGATGTATTCATAGTAATGAAAAAACAGGCAGGCTTTTTATCTATAAAGTTAAAGGTAAAGTGGTCTGTACTAAATGAGGTGTTTAGCAAAAGTGTTACACTTTTTAACTGCCTTTTTAATGAGCAGACACGCGCCGTGCCAGACGCGTACGCATACCTGTCAAACATGCTTTAAAAGCAGAGATTTTTGATTATTTGTTACTGCGCTTTTTATAGACATCAAACTACAGTGGTTGAGATGTGATTTCTATTGAAGCCTTTGTTTTTCTGACATATCCTTAACCATGCTCATATTTTGAGTGGTTCTGTTCACCATCTTATTTTTGCTTTCCTACATTAAAGTGAAATCATTCAAGGTTTGCACTTAGACATTGGACATATTAACAGACTTAAAGAAGAGATACCCCATTATGTTTTTGTTTTTCTTTTCAGATATATTCAGAAACATTAATTTATTTGCCGTACTCGACAGTTCGACTTCACAGCATTTTTGTCAAATTGCTGTTATTAAACATCCATGCTATATATGGCTTTCACTGTATTTTGGTACATCTGTCGCTGATTTTTAGCATGTCTTTTGTGGTTTACCAGCAGATGTTTGGTGGAGAGGCTTTTGTTCAGCTACACAGATGAACAACAGGAAGGAGGACATGGAGATCTCATCTCACTACCGTCAGCTCCTCAGAGAGCTCAATGAGCAGAGGCAGCATGGGATCCTCTGTGATGCCTGCGTCATTGTGGATGGGAAGATCTTCAAGGCCCATAAGAATGTCCTTCTGGGCTCTTCGCGATACTTCAAAACTCTTTACTGCCAGGTAAGTGAGCTCACTAGCAAGAGAAGCTCAAGCTATTGGGTTATGCTGTAGTTTAGGAAATGGTTCTAAATAATTAGCATTGTTGTGTTTTAAAAAGTAAAAAAAAAACAAAAAGGTTTTTTTGCCTATTCACCCTTGCTGTAAATGTTCCTTCCCTACAACCTGCAGGTGAAAAAAGGGGCAGAGCCCCACCATCAGACCACTGTCACCCACCTGGACATTGTTACGGCAACAGGTTTCAAAGCCATCCTGGACTTCATGTACTCAGCACACCTTGCCCTTACCAGCAAGAACGTGATAGAGGTGATGTCGGCCGCCAGCTACCTGCAGATGACGGACATTGTCCAGGCCTGTCACAGCTTCATCAAAGCTGCATTGGACATCAGCATCCGCTCCGAGATGGCTGATGAGCTGGCCGACTTTGAAATGGGAGCTGTTGCTGCAGGTTTAGGGGGAGGTGGAGGAGTTGGCGGAGTTGGAGGAGGAGTGGGCATGGCAGGAATAGGAGGTGTTCCAGGGGCGGCTTTAGGAGGAGGAGGAGGTAGCATAGTGGGCATGGCTTCTGAAGCCTTGGCCTCCATCATGTCTGGTCGCAGCACTTCCCCTTGGTTGGCGCGCCGCACCAGCCCGGCCAACTCTTCTGGGGACTCAGCCATCGCAAGCTGCCATGAAGGAAGCAGCACGTACGGAAAAGAGGACCAAGAACCCCCCAAGAGCCATGAGAGCCAGGAGGACGCCTGCCACGACTCTCAGCCTGCCTGGCCACATGACTATAGGCCTGTCAGCGTCAAAGAGGAACAGGTCTCCCCTGCTTCCTCTTCTCATCCAAGGGACACTCCGAAGGGGGCTGCCCAAATCCAGGCGGAGCAAGGGGCCGGGGGAGCAGGTGGGGAAGTGCACTGGCAACCCCTGTCAGGGTCAGGGCGGAGGAAGAACAGGAAGAACAAGGACACAGTCAGACACATTACCCAGCAGGCTGAGAGGAACTGGGACCGGGAGCGGGAGAGGGAGCGGGAGAGGGAAAGAGAGCGGGACAGTCGGCCTGGATCTCCTCTACCCTCCATGCTTGGTGTTACTGGATGGAACTACAATGGCCAAGACATCCCAGGTAAGGTTAAGTTAGACAACTGGGGAGACCTAATGGTGGAATAGTCTTATCCACCTTTTAAAGGGTCAGTAGATCGGAGCAGTCAAAGTCTTTTGCTGACCTCTTTGAACTCATGTGTATAGGACCTACCTGTACACTAGCCTTTATATTGTGAGTACTGGCCAGGTAACTGAGTGCATGTCAGCTATCCAGAGTTTACTTCTTGAAATTGACCTCTTTTTCTCCTCAGGGGTTTAGATTAGTGAGCTTATACTCTAACCTGTTTGGCCTAAGATGATTATCTCAGTTCTTGAAGGTGTGAGGTGGAGCCTGGGTAAAAGCGGATGGATAATACAATCCTCTCCACACTAGAGTTCCTCTAAGGTGTACTACAGCATAAACAAGCAAATGCATACTCTCATGAAAACATATTTGTTCTGAGAAATCTCTCTGATCCTCAGCTTTGCAGGATTGTTTGGCAAATACCTTTAAACTTAAACTTATATGTGCTAAACTTACCGTTGTGTGTTTGCTTGTGTGTGCGTTGTAGGCCCCAAGGCGTCGATAGGTAGATCATTAAAACTAAGAGAAGCTAATCCTGGGCGCATTAAGGGAGTTGGCTGTGAAATGGGCACATGCGTCGCGCAGTGAAAGAAAACAGGATAATTGAATTGACCTGGGTCACTGCACGGATTACCAGCACGTCCTCACCATCCCAGGCTTCTCCCCTTCTCTCTGGGGTTTAGGGAAGGACCTTATGGAAAGGGCGAGGGGAAGAAAAAAAAAAGAAGAGTTGAATTAAAGGGGAAATGAGAGAGAACAGAAAATTACAGGAGCAAGCGGAGAAAAGACCAGGAGGGAGCATCCTTTTGGGCTTATGAGGGTTTGTCTTCTCTATGGGTCCTCAGTCCCAGATTCTTTGCGTTCCTGTCAGACTTTATCACAGTGCTTAAGAACATCTTGTCTTGAGCTGCTAAGCAAGACACAATCATGCATATTCACGCATACCTATTAAGCAAATGGAATTATTAAGCCTTCTTGCCAGCTCCATAGTGCTGGTAGAGGGGAGTTTAAGCCTAGTTGAGGTCTTGAATAAGAGAAGTGTTTTCTCACCAAAAGGTTAGAGGAAGTCTAGAGTTGCTGCTGGTGTAGACTCACCTGGGGTTTGCCAAAAGTCAGCCGATGGTCTAAGCTTTCTACTGGGCGTTGGGACTGAGCTTAGAATGGGAGAAAATGGGAGAAGCAGGTCTCACTCAGAGGGACAACCTTGATATTTAGCTGTAAAACATCATGTTACTGTTCAGGGTTTAAGAGTTGTGTATGAGAATAGTTTTCAGTACTGAGTCAGTTAGCAGTGGGAAGTGTATTGTTTCTTTATAAAGGTTTAGGGGATTGTTCAACACTCCTAATGGGGTCAATGCTGGTCTTTTTACAGGAAGTGGTGTGATATTTTGGCAATCATAGTGCTCTTTTACTTGTACAATCTGGCATCCATTAGATCTATAATTTTGACTTACTCAGGGTGAAAAATACACACAATTCCTCAAGTGAGCTTATGAGAGTTAGTGTTCTTAAGTCTTAAGTCTCCTTAAGTCCAGGATTTTGTCACCTGTTCTCAAGGATCCGAATCAGGCATGCTGTCGAGCAGAAGGGCTGTACTTAGAAAGTTAATAAATTTCCAGGTACAAAATTTCATACATGTTGGTGATTACATCTAGTAGAAGACTATCAGAGACAATAAGATTTATTTAATCTTGAGAACAAATACTACTGACAAAAGTATCAAATTAGCACATAATGCAACTGCCAACACAGCAGTACCCCAAAATATATACCAAAACATTATCCATGTTACATTATTACATTATTTTGATGATGTAACTACAGCATGTCTCATGCTACATTCCTACATTGCGAGTAGTGATAGCTTAAAATGTACACCTGCAATGATAGCTTTTTTCATCATATCCCAGTAAGTCAAGGCAGCAGGCAAGCAGCCACTCTATTCAAAGTGATCTCAGTCCAAACACATCAAATACTACCTTTCGGTAACATATCTAAGACACCCACAAGGTATCCTTTGGTTTAGCAATTCAGCTGCTGCATTATTTGAAACTCTTGCATGTGCATGAACAAAAGGCCACATGAAGCGGGCTAGTCATTTAAATAAGCTGCCGTGCTTCTATTTTGGATAGGGTGAGGCTGCTGTTTTCTTTTTCTAGCTCAAAATATATCATATAAAACGTATATTCTGTAAATTGAAGAATTATATGGATATAAACGTACTGCCATGATAGTGGGACCAAAATTTTGTGGAGGAACTGCTGTTCTATGGGTTCAGTTGTTGGTTTCCATGAAGGGCTCCAGTAGGTATTAAGGAGAAAGGGCACCTTCAGTCTGAGATTAGCTTAATTGCTTCATTCTTTATTGATGAGAAGTGCCTACACACTCTGTCTCTCTCCCTCCCTCTCATTCATCTGTAATCAGTGTCCATGCTTTGCTATTAGTAATGCTTATGTTTTATACAGCACAGGGACGTCCTGGCAGAGGATCATATTTGGTTGTTCTATAATGTAAGGAGATGTGAGTGTGTCAAGGCTCAGTGTATTAGCACACAGTTAAAGGATCTCTATGAATGTGCCATGTGCTCATGTTGACATAAACAGCTGCAGGAATTGGGATTTGTTTTCTTTAGATCCCCTTCTCTTACAATCATCTGCTGTGTTCACTGGATGTCATTATTGAGGCCACTAAGCTCAGTCTTTTCTCTTGTTTGCGAATGCTTGATCTTCTTATTTCTGAGGCTCACCTTGTCTGGTGACACAAATATTTGAAATCTTACACTTGATGTTGGAAATCAGTACGATTCGCTCTAAAGCACAGCGCTCGTGTGTATGTTTTTCTCCATAAAAAATATTGAAGGTGACATATTTTTGCAGAAGAGAGTTTTAAATAGTCTATACTTCTCTTTCTTTGTTCCCTGGCACTTTAAATAATTGACTGAAGTTATTTTTGGTTTGGCCCCTGCTGCTTTGGTAACTTCTTAAAGACCTGGAACAAAATACACCTGATAATCATAGGCAGAGTGTTTTGAATATTAAGAGTAACATTTTGTCAAGAGTTCAGGGTTTCTTTAATTTTCTTAAGCAAATCAACTTCATGATAAATAACCCATTTACAGTTGAAATGACTAATAAGTCAGGGTTACAAGAGCATTTATTACCAACGATGTAAATGTTAATGATCTCATTTTAAGGCAGTTTTGTCTTCAAATAAAATTTGCTGGTACTCTCATTCTTCAGTCCAAAAAGTTGGAAAGGCTACCACATGCAAAGTTTAGCTGAATGTCTGAAATAATAAATAAATAAATAAAAAGTACATAGAATAATTAATGAACCAATGCTTCTTAGATGCTCCTTTTTCACATTGGTTATGTTTCTGAACACTTGACTCTGTCGGGAGACTGGATTCATTGTTTATCATGTGCAACATACCGATTGATTGTGTGGTGCACCCATCTCAAAGGTTAAGCAATAGAAATTTGTATTTTTCTAAAGGTATATTAATTTTACCATGCTTTCCCTTATCAGTTAAAATTCTTTTTGAAACTGCCTTTGAGGCCAAACCCTTTTATTAAAGATGTCCCCTTAAATGCTTAAAACTATTTGATACCATCTAAAAATGATTAAATAAAAAAGAATGAATATTTGCATTCATTTGCATTTCATGCACCATATTGGGCAGGCATGTACCACTAAATTATGATCTATCTCTAGGCACAGCAAATAATTTGATGCATTAAATGTGGAAATAATTATTTAAAGTTGTGACCAAATATTTTAAACGGTTTAGGCCTATTTTCCAATCTTTCTTTTAAAACAAAAGCAAAAGATGCTTATGTCATTTTGGAGTTACAGCTTATTTTTCCCTCGAATACTAAAAGCTTGGTCAAATGTAACCACTGATTTTTTCTTACCGTTATTATTCGTGATGCAAGCACCTGGTTGATCTTTATTTAAAAACAATAACAGCACTGGAAATAACTTTTGTTTGTGTTTTCTTGCTTGTATTAGAACACACGTGTGCATATGCACACACACACACACCCAAACACACACATACACATGGTGACCTTTAGTGGCAGCTTGGGGGATTTTGGCAATCCGGTACATGGCCGGTGTGATACACACATTCTCACACACAAAGCCCAGAGCATCTGATTATGTAGACGTGAACAGTTCAATCACACGTGGGCTGCTCTTTCCATTTCCCTCTAGCTGTTGCACATTGATTACATCAAGAATCTTTTTTGAAATCCAACGTCTTTATCTGACTGTTTTCCTCTCCGCTCTGTGGCCTTAGAGTTCCCCTCCTCAACCACTAATACACACTCGCTTACACAAACACACACACAGTCGCATAGTTAAAAAAAGAAAAAGAAATAATTTCTCCGTAGAACCATGTCCTGTTTGTTCCTGCTTGTGTGTTCAGGAGTGTTGAAGTTAACAGTGCTTGCTTTGACTTGTTTGAGTGTAGGTCGTCATCTCCTCAATGATCTGAGACTCCCGGACTCACCTGGGGCTCGCAGACAGGTGCTCTGCCCTCTCTATTCTGCATAAACCTTTTCTGGTTCTCTCCCTGTGCTCCCCTCCCCAAATCTCTGTAGTCTAAAGGTGAACACTTGAAATAATGAATCAGATCCCCCTTTCGCCCCCTTTCGCTCTGTATTCCAGTTAAGACTCTCCCCATAGTATTTGCACTTCATTAAACTTGAAATAGGTTTAATATTTAAAACACCGTGAACAGATTTCAACCCCATCGCACCGCACACACCACTCCACATTTTCTCTCTCCTGCTCGCTCTCGGTTTAATAATCTACTCTCATATTTCTTCCTTAATTCACTTTTTCATTTTCTTCATTAAAAACCTAAATATATTTAATATTTCAGAATGTGGACTTAATTCTTAACCCATGTCCTCATGGCTTGGTCAGTGACAAGCAATGGGTTAAATAACAACATTATCTTCAGGTTTCTCCTGTTTTCTCTCCCCGGGTCTATGTCA